CCTGAGTGCTGGGATTAATGGCATGGGCCACCAACACCTGGCTCCCAGCTTCTTTTTTATAAAAACATTAAAAAAAAAGTTTTTAAAAGATTTATTTATTATGTAGAGTGGTTTACCTGCATGTATACCTGTAGGCCAGAAGAAGGCGCCAGGAATCATTACAGATTGCTGTGAGCCACCATGTGGGTGCTGGGAATTGAACTCAGGACCTTTGGAAGAACATTTTTTTTTTTTAAAGGTGGTTTTCAATTTGAGCTTCATGAAGAGAAGCTCAGGTAGGCCTCAAACTTGCTATGTTGCTGAAGCTGATCTTGAACTCCTGATCCTCCTACCTCCACCTCTGAAGCACTGGGATTGGTATACTACCACACCAGGCCGAAACTTCTTGGTAGTAACATGATGGGTGTGCACCATGTGAGTTAAATGTCTGTAACCTGTACCCTCTGCTTGGCAGCGTGTAGTTTGGCTTAGGCTTTTGGACACAATCCCAAGGATGCATGGGACCCTGTTGGTCAAACACTATGCAGAGCGAGCAAGATACCCAATTTTTTTCTTTGTAGCTCTGACAGGGGAAGTAGGTGGGAGCCCTGGGCTTGTGCAGTAGCAGAATAGTCAAGGGAGGCTGTGGCCAGGGATGCCCCATCCCATCAAAGGGACTTAAGCCAACACTGGACCCTGTTTGACAGGAAGACAAGAGGCCAGCAGAGGGCAAGGCTGGGAGTCCACTCAAGGGCCGACTGGTGACTTCGTGGCGGATGCCCGGGGACCGGCCAGCGCTGTTCAATCCATACCTGCTGTCTCTGGGGGTCCTCAGGTGGCAAAGGGTAGGCTGGCTCCTGAGGGGTTGGAGGGGAGAGGGTGGATAGGGAAGGGAAGTGGGGAGGAGGCTGGGGCTAGCCAAGAAAATGGGTCTGAAAGGGAGGAGTGGGGAAAACTTATGGAAGGAGAGGACTCTACAAAGCTCTGTCAGGCTCAGAAGGGGTGCTTTTCTGCCTCTGGTGCAGGGCACAGATCCTGAAAGCTTTTAGGATGAAGGATGTTTGGGTAATCTCCAGTCATCAACTGCTGGCCTGAGCCAGGGAGCCAGGTGGTGGGAGGGGAGGAGAGCCTGAAGGGGCTCTGGATTATACAGTGTGTCTCAGACCTGGGCCTGGTCCAGTTTCACAAACATCTGGCCTTACATAACCCATCTCCTGCCCAGAGAGGCCTGTAAACACTGGGGCCTCTGGTTGGGGCCGCCATCAGGGCCAGGAGAGGAGGTAGCTATGACTTGTCCCCTCCTGCCCCTTCACAGCAGGCAAGAAGCAACAAGGGCTGGCTTTGGGGGTTAACTGTCTCAGTGACTGGGTGACTCCTGTAATTTCCTGTTGGCACTCACACTGCAGGGCCCTTGGAGACAGATGCCAGTTTTTATAGAGATGGGCACCGAGGCTTACAGAAACGAGCCGACAGCCAGGATACCACAGGGCTGTTTTTTGCACAGTCCCAAGTGAGAGAGTTCCAAAGGAAGTCAGAGCACTGGAATGTGTGTCACATCTGTCAGCTGGGGTGATTGATGGAGCTACCTAGAGTCTGGGAGAGGAAGGCTGCTCAAGCATCCCATCTGTGGCATGGACTCCTACCTGTCATTCCCTACAGGCAGGGGCACCCAAGGCAGCCAAGCAAATATGGCTACCTGGGTGCAGTGGTCCTTCAAGCCATGGGCAGGATTTGCCTTATCAAACTAACTAAAGGTCACCAACACACAGCGGAGGTGGGAGGAGCAGCAGGGAAGGTCTTGGTGGAGAGAGGGTGAGAGAAGTGGGGATTATGATAGCAGGTGCGCTTCTGAACTCCCGGAATCCCCTGGAAGGGCAGACCTTTGTACTCCAGACTGCCTTGTCTGTGCACATTCTCTACACTACCAACGATTATTGTGTGCCTGCTGAACTCCCCAGCCCCATGTCCCACGCAGGGTATGCCTGACTGTGTTTGGTCCCCTTCTCAAGGACCATTAGGTTCATGTTGCCCACATACTAATAAGGAAGTGAAGTCTCTTGTTCCATGTCACACATGGGTGCATCTGAGATGCAAACCCTGCTCTGGCTGATCAGAGCATTGAATATTTACAACCCCACCCTGTGTCACTGACCTCAAAGAACCATCTGGAAGCCCATAGCTACCCTTAGTTACCCAGGTATATTCCCTAACAGACATATGGTGGTTGAGGCTTAGTGAGTCAAGGGCAATGATCTTTTTATCTGGGGACTAGAATTGTAAATGCCAGAGACAGAACTGCCTGGAGCCTCTCTGAAGATTGCTGGAATTCTAGCTCTACTCAGACCAGGCTGTGTGCTCTGGGCCACTGTCTCCTTCCCCAAGTCATACCTTAGAGTCCTCAGGAGAGATGTGACTCAGCACTGAATATTCTTGAAGTATGGTGGCTGCAGTCTTTGCCAGCAAAAGTCACTTCTGGGTCCCTGAAGCTCTGCACCTCTCTTCTGCTAGGGTGAGCTGTGATCCCTATGTTTGTATATTCATTCAGTTAATCAATGCTTACTGAGGGTATTCTGCAGGCTAAAGCCCTCCACTGGCCTCAAAAATAGAGAAAGACAAGCTCCATTATTGCCCACAGGGAGCACATGGAGGCAAATACTGTGACAGGCACCTGGGTAAATGGCACTGTAGCAGAGGGGCAGGCAAATGCAGGGAACATTAACAAGGGGTCAGATACAGGGAGCATTTGATAAAGACAGGGATTCGGGGAACATGGGGCATGGAGTCACATATGGGGGGCACTAAGTGAGGAGCAAGATGTAGAAAGATAAGGAAAAGGGAGACAGGGAATATTAGGCAAAAGGGTGGGCAGAAGGAGTTATAGGCAAGGAAGCAGATGCAGGGAGCACTGGATGAGGGGTCAGATGCAGGGTATACAGGGCAAAGACCCCCCTCCCCAAATGCTGGAGAGGGAACCCAGAACTTTGTGTGTGCCAGGCTATATCACTTAGCTATGTCCCTGGCCCTGCTGGATGACAGGAGCACTAGGTGAGGGGCAGGAGCTTTGAGCAGTGAGTTTCTAAGTCTGGCTGGAATATGTGGCTCTGTTTAGACTGAGGCTTGAAGGGTGAAGAGAATTTTCCAGGCATCTTTTTGTGAGGTAGCAGGAGAGAAAACTGTGTGTGTGTGTGTGTGTGTGTGTGTGTGTGTGTGTGTGTGTGTGTACATGGGCATACAGAAAGCAGGAAGGGAAGTGTTCCAAACAAGGTAGTCTAGAGTACAAAGGTCTGCCCTTCCAGAGGATTCCAGGAGTCCAGCATTGTGTCTTTCACATGGAAGAAGCATGTTTAAAATTTAGGGTAGATCCAGGCAGGTTATAAGGGATGCTGACTTGGCAGAAACCAGTGTGCTGAACTGATCATCATCACTCTGGTCCCTGGGTTGAGGTGACCAGAAGGTAACTCTCAGTGGCCAGGAGCCAAAAGGCTGGTGCTTTCTGTGCCTAGCCACCTGGCAGCAGTAGGGGGTTTCTTCTAACTCACTCTCCAAGGGCTGCTAATCATTGAGGAGTGTGGGTGGGGTTGGGGGGAAGCATATCGGTATCAAAAGGCCAATGTCTACAGTAAGTTAACTTAACATGTAGATCTGTGTGTCACTGTGAGGAGACGTCAACAGGGTTGCTAGGGGAAAAACTCAGCTTGCTGGGCCTCTGAATCCTTATCTGTGAAATAGGCAAAGAATCAGAGTAGCATTGTAATTATAGTATACAATAATACACATTTATTTCTTTCTGAGACAGGTCTTGATATGTAGCTCAGTCTAGCCTTCAGATCACTACTTATCATGATCCTCCTGACTCTGTCTCCCAAGTGCTGGGGTCACAGAGCTATACTCCCATGTTTTTTTTCTGTTTGTTTTGTTGACAGGGTCTTGCTATGTAGCTGGGGCTCAGATTAGCCTAGAATTACATATGTTGCTCAGCCTGGATTGGAACTCTTGATCTTCTTGCCTCACCCTCTCCCTCAGCCTATACCAGTATGCCCAGCAAGAGCAATGCCTTTGAACTCCAAATCAAGATGGCAAAATATCTGAAGCTGCAGATAATCCAGGCCCCCTGGTCCACACCTAAGGGTAGCTAACTAGAAATGGAGAAGTTGTTTTAGTTTCTTGACTTGGTTAACACTCATGGGTCATTGCATCAACTCATTTTACTCTGTGAGGTTGAACCGCTACTGCCACACAAGCTTCTGGTACAATCAGTTGCAAATTCCACCAAGGTCCCTCCTCACCTGTAGGACCACGATGAGCTTCCGCAGGCAAAGAAAATACAACACATTGACAAGGGAGCTGGGAACATGAGCAACAGGTGCACACTCACACCCGAGAACCCAGAGCTTCTTAACGGAAAGTCCCTTGTGGGAGATTTCGCAAAAGCCCTCTCCCTTTCTATCTACAACTCCGGACCTCATTTTGTGCGCAGCTTACTTGATAGAATTCTCTCTGCCTCGTTTCTCTCACCCTCACCCCGTGAGACCTCGGACGGGCAAATAGGTCCATCTTTGAACCACTGCACTCCCGTGAGTAAAACAGAAACAAATGAGCCCCCTTCTAACGTCTGTGGGGAGAACGAAATGCTAACTCCGTAGGTAACAAGTGGGGTTCACTGAATCGTTAGTACTGGGTGCTGTACTCCGTTTGCCTTGCAACTCAGGCGCCAAGGTCGGGTGTATCCATCATTCGGACGGGGGGACTTAGGCTCTACGCCCCAGCCGTGAGATCAGACTGCCCCGCCCCGCCTCTGCGGTGTCGCCGGCAGAGTCACCTGCACGCAGGCCCTTCCTTCCTGCAAGTTGTCGGCCGGAGTCGGCCCTCCCGGCCCGCCGCCCCATCCGCCCGCCCTGTCGTGCAGGCCCCGCCCCCGGCCCAGCCCATATTCCTATTGGTCCTCCCTCCGCCCCCGCCTCTGTTTGCTCTGACTTCCAGGTCTCCCATTGGTTCACCCGGGTCCTCCCAGGAAGTTTGAAAAAAAAAAAAGTTTTATGGGCGGATGGAAGGGGCCGGGGCAGCTCCGGGGAAGGGAAGGGCTGGAGCTGAGGCGGCCGGCGGCCGAGAGGGGCGGCGGGCTGGGTGCGCTGCGGAGCCCGGCCCGAGAGTGCCCAGCAACGTCCCGGGGCGCCGCCATGACGGTGAGTGGCCCCAGCTCGGACCTAGCGAGGCCGAGAGTTGAGTGCCGGGCAGCTCGGTCTAGACTTGTTCCCCCTCCCCCGGTCCCCTGCCCTCCTTCCCCCATGGAACCCGTGCGGTGGAGGGCACTCGTCACTGACAGACTCAGGGCGACACTTCCCTCACCCCCTGCCTGCCAGCCCCCTTGGTGGAAGCCCAACTCCCCCCAGGCTGCTTGGCTTGGGCCTGGGAAGAGGTGCTCCGGGGCTTGGATGGGTCGTGCTGACCTGGCCTGGACTGTGATGGCTGTTCAGCCCATGTTCTAGCCAGAGTTTTGGGGGTTCGGCCCCACCCCAACCCACGGTTGAGAGACCCCCTCCTGGGGGCAGCTGAAACTGAGTCCTCATGGCGTTGGGCGCTGGGGACTTGGGCGGGGTCAGAAGTTTCAGTTTCTCTTGGAGATGGCCTTTACCAAGTTTTGTCAATCAATGTCTATGCCCTGATCATCCTATGGAATCTCACAGTTAAGAGCACTGTTCTCCCCATTTCACAGCCAAGTGAACTAAGGCTTGGGGAAGGGCACTGGTGAGGTGTCCTGAATGTAAAAGAAGAAATAGCCTCTTTTCCAGGTCTGTCTGAGCACCTGGCCATGATGTTCTGGAATGGGGGGGGGGGCTGGTTTTGATTTCTGACTAGTGCCCCAGACAGGCTCTGGGAGTCTGGTCCTCCTGGTGTTGGGAGGAGGATGAACAGGGTGTGCATGCACATGCGCAAGGGTAGGCCTGGTGAGAGGTGGGCTGTGCTGCTGGGGTGGGGGCGTGGCCTGTGGGGCCCCTGCTCTCTGAGAGAGAGAGAGAGAGAGAGAGAGAGAGAGAGAGAGAGAGAGAGATATGACCTGGCTCTATTGCCTGGACTTCCTCAGCCTCCTCACATCCTGCCACCTCCCTACTGGCCTTTCCTGGCCTCAGCAGTCTCCCCTTCCCTGTTATTGAGCAGAGGGATGTTGGGGGAGGAGTTGAGTCAGTGTCCTGAGATAGGGGGAGGTGGTTGCCTGGCCTACTGGGTATCTGCCAAATCCTAAACTGGACGCTTGCATAGTACCAGATTGATCCTTTTAAGGTTGATGATACTGTCCCTGTCATAGAGTTGGGGAAACCGAGGTGCACAGGAGTGAAGTATAGTATAGCCCTGATGATGCAGTTTGGCCTTGGCTGTGCCAAAATTTATATCCTGGCCCTCCTCGGTTTGCTTTCTGGGGAGAGATAAGAAGTGTACGCAATTGCCACTCCCAGGAAGCACGTGCTAAGTAAGAGTGAGTCTGCTAAGCGCCACATGTGTTTCTGTATCCTGAAGGAGAGGTATGGCATCCCTGCTGGCGGGAAGAGGGCTTCCTGAGGGAGTTGTCCTCTGATTACATGACTTTGTCAGACAGTGATGGACTGTGGAGGAAGGGGTGTGTTGATAAAGGATAATGGCCATCTCAGGGCTGCTGGAAGCTTAGAGAAGAGGTCTGAGAAAGGACCACAGCTTGAGCCAGGAGCAGTGAGCATCCATGAACGGTTTTGAGCAGGGAATAGGCTTGTGGTCACTATTCACAGAGCTCACTGGGCTTGTCCTGGGTACCATTCAGACTTGAGCCTGTTCCAGGTTCTCCTAGCCTTCATACTCTTCATGTCTGCAGCCCATCTCCCTGACACACACCACCCCCATACCACCCACTACCCACAGCTGAGTGTTCTGTGCAGAGCAGTGGCCAAGAGCTGGCTGGGTAAGAGGCTTCAGGTAGCTGGTAGATCTGGGCTGACTTGGAGTACAGAGCCTCTTTCACATCTTGCCTCATTCTGGTGAAACTTTGTTAAGGAGCCTCATTCTGCAGCCACTGCTGGGCATCAAATTATATACTTATTCTGTTCTGCATGTTTACTGGCTGTCTCCCAAGCTCTCCCACCAGGGCAAGGCCACAGCTCTTGTTCACAGCTGATATCTTGTCCTAGAACAGTACTGGGTACCTTTAAAAAGAGTCCTTTTCCTTCCTTCCTTCTTTCCTTCTTTCCTTCCGACTCTGAGCCCATCTAGATCTTTTATTGTTGTTATTTTGAGACAGGGTTTCTCTGTGTATTCTTGGATATCCTGGAACTGTGTAGACCATGCTGGCCTCAAACTCACAGAGATCCACCTGTCTTTGCCTCCTGAGTGCTGGGATTAAAGGTGTGTCCTGTACTGGATCTTAATCAGCCCACCTAGAGGGGAAACCAAAGTGCTTTCAGCAATCCTAATGCAACTAGATGTGGGAGGTGGCTGGGTGCAGTAGGCAGGTGGTATGGGGTAAGTTTTGAGAAGAGGCCTCCGATGATGGGTACAGTTAGGCAGGTCTGAAGGCCTGAGTAGGGACTTGGCTTGGTCAGTAGAGAAGAGTACTTAGTATTTCATTTTGAGGACATGGCAGGTGTAAAGGATTTTGGGAGTTGTCACTGTGTGTTGGGGATCTGTTCACAGGATGGTGGAATAGTTGGGATAAATAGGTGGGGGCAGGCCAGATTGCTAGGAGAGATTAAGGTGTTTCGTGACCCCACTGAAAGGATCCCTGTAAAGGTAAGTGCTTAGAAGGGGCTGAAGCTGTGGCTGAGATGACAGGCAGGAATGACCTGTGGTACTGGTTGGGGAGGAGGGCATGAGAGCCTGTGGGTGTTCCTCACACTGATCTTCCTGGTGGAGAATGGGCAGCTGAGCCCAAGGAGCTGGGGAGGTGGCAGCTCTCTGGATGCAGCTTGTCAGATCAGTTTTATTTGTGTGTGTGTGTGTGTGTGTGTGTGTGTGTGTGTGTGTGCGTGCGCCTCTGTGTGCCTGTGTGTGCCTGTGTGTGGGTGTACACCTACATCTGGAGGAAGCTAAAGGTTGACTTTGGGTATGTGCATCCCACCTTATTATATTTTATTTTGCATGACTGGGTTTCTCTGTGTAGCTTTGGCTGTCCTAAAACTCACTCTGTAGACCAGGATGGCCTCAAACTCACAAAGATCCACCTACCTCTGCCTCTCAAATACTGGATTAAAGGCATTTGCCACCACTGCCCACCAGATTCAGTTTTGTGTGTGTATGTATGTGCATGCCTGTGTGTGCACGTATACCTACATCTGTAAGCTAGAAGTTGACTTTGTGTATATTGCCCTCCACCTTATTTTTTTAAGACAGGAACTCTCAGTGAATCTGTAGCTTTCTAGTTTAGCTAGGTTGGCTGACCGGCAAACCCCAGGGCTCTTCCTCCACCCTCCCGAACTAGGATTATAGGGTTACGAGGGTGTTGGGGGTCCAAACTCAGGCCCTTGTGTTTCTGTGGCACATGCTTCTCTGACTGAACCTCTCTAGCTCTTGTCAGATCCTGCTCATAGTTTCCCCTCCCAGAAAGATCAAACCCTCACTTTGCTGGTCTTCTCTCCCTAAAGTTGCCATGCTAGGTCACACCAGACCTGAAATACTTGGAGCTGTTCTGACTACAGTACATTCATTCTCCTTGGAAGACTGCAGTGGCTGGGGCAGAGCCCTAGTCATGGGGCACATTTGAGCCAGAGCCTAGAGGGGACTGTGCATATGAGGAAGGGAGGTGGCCCTGTCACTTCACTTCTAAAGCAGCTCTCTGGGTCCCTGTCTGTCACTGTGCCTGGGGGCCTTCTCTTTTGGGTCAGCCTCATGGTGCCAGCTCCACAGACCTTGCCCTAACTTTTGGCTCCTTGGGGCCAGTTTGGGGTCAGGAGATCTGCCCCAAAGCACAGGAATTTATGACAGGAAGGTGGGAGATATTTATACACTGTTGTGACTAGGCCTCTCCTCCCATCCTGGGGCTGTGGGAGTGGGAGGTCCATGCTGAGGAGAAGTGGGGCCAGATATGGTTAGTCGCTATCTCCAGTCTTAGTTGGGGATCATCCTGGGTTGCCTTGTCATAGATTCAAGTCAGTTTGACAGAATAGAAAGCAAACAGGACAAACACAGCCCCAGGGTTTCCGGGTTTGGTGCATAGCCCTCCTCCTCCCCCAGACAGGTGTGCAGGGTGAGGGAGCCCCGACCATGGCTGTGGATGCTCTAGGCATTCAAACTACTGGCCTGAGACCACTCTGCCTGAGGAAAATGGGGTTCTCTAGAGGAAAGATGGCCAGGTCAGGTGGCTCTGGTTCCTAGCTGTTGCTGCCACAGCCCCACCACTGCACTATTTCACTGACTCCTTTCAGGAAACCAGACACCTTGGCTCCGTGAGGCTCACTTGATGCAGGCTCTGATAGGTGGGCTCAGAGCCATGACAACAGGTGGCATCTCTTCCCTGCCAGCCTGTTTGTCTTGTCTTATTCCCTTCCCTGACAGTGGGCAGGAGCTAAGGCTACTGAAGGACAGAGACCTAAATAGGCAAGGGCCCCCATGTCAGGGAGGGTCAGTGGGACGATACCCTCCAGATGGGCAGATCAGGATGAACCGCCTCCTATAGACCTGGTCAGATAGAACTAGCTACAGCCTTCCCGTGGAACATGTTGCAGCTGGGGGCCGCACAACTCCAGGGCTATGTCTCCCTGGGTAGGACCTGCCAGGTAGGGCTTGCCAGGATTGAGGTGCCATGGCCTGTCCAAGGAGACCTAGGGGAAAGAGGCCATCTGCCCTCAGCCTGGGCCTGGCTCAACACTTCAGGGTCTCTAGGAGATGAGGGAAGGCAGATTTGGTGGGAGGACCAATGACAGCTTGGATAGAGAATTAGGTTGTGTTGGTATAGTCCACCTGGATCTTGTTGAAGAGAACTGGAACATTTGCTAGGCTGTTTCTTCAGGGTTACCCTCTGGACTTCCTAGGGCTCTCTTCATAGGCAAAGTTCCTTCTGTGTCCTCTCTCTTCATCTGGGGTGGGGCCAGGGAGCTTGGACATCTTGGGTGTGTGTCTTAGCCACTTAGCCCAACGTCTTGGCTCTCAGAAGATGCTGGGGAAAGGGCCAAGGCTGTCTCAGTGGTTGGGAGCCTGCTTGGTACTGCCTGGTTTGGGGGAAAGTTCTCTGAGTCCTTTGCCCTCTTAATTTGTCTTCCAGGACCTCAGTGTCACAGGTCTAGGGCAAGATGACTGTCACAGTCCCTCCTAGCAGCCCATTTGGTTTTCCTGATGAGTCTAACTGTTGGCCTTTTCATCCACCTATAGCCCGATCTTCTCAACTTCAAGAAGGGATGGATGTCAATCTTGGATGAGCTTGGAGAGGTAAGAGGCTGGGCTGGAGGGGAGAGGTTGGCCTGGGCTAATATGCAGGGCTTATGTGGAAAGGCCCTTGGGCTAGGCATGGGATCCAAGGTGAAGGCCAGATGGGAACCCCAAAGGGGTCAGATTTCTGGTCCAGGGAAAAGGGAGGCCAGGTTTAGTAGGAACTCAGGAGGGACAGTTTGCTGGCTATCAGCTTCCTCATCTGTTTTAACACCTGAGTGGATGGGTGGAGCCTCCCTACTGTGCATACTCCAGGTCGTCCCAGCTCTGCAGGAGCACAGGACCATGTTGGCTGTCCTTCCTCGTGCCATCAATAGCTAGGAATCTGAGTTGTACAGATTTCCAGACACTGGGGTACAGAGTGGGGCACAGAGCACAGGCAGATGAAATCACAGCCTCAGTCACCAGCTCTGTGACATGCAAATGATGGACAAAGTGGAAAACAGTCACTGTGTTGAGGGGGCCAGAAGCCTCTATTGCCTGCTGGGAACTCACTGCCCTCCTTCCCTTCTTTCCTCCCTCCCTCCCTCCCTCCCTCCGTCCCTCCCTTCCTTCCTTCTTTCCTTCCATCTAGTCTAATGTGTCTGTCCTTGGGAATACCTGAGGCAGTACCATTCACTAGCTCTGCTTTGTTAGCTGCCAGACAGGCTGGAGGCTGGGAGCTAAGCTGGCTCCTTGCCTACTCCGCCTGCGTGTGCCTGTGGCTCAGATCTGTGTGCAGCCCGCATGCCGGTCAAGGCTCAGAGCCAAGGGGAATTGCATTGTGTTTCCTGCCCACGCGCTTTATTCCCCGCAGCCAGCAGCCTTCTGTCCCTGCTGCCCGCTCGACATCCCTTAGTGGCTGCTCTCCAGGCTCACACAAGGCCTGGCACCCTGCCAGTGACCCCTTCCTGGCCTCCCCTCCTAAGGTCTCTAGAGGGTAGAAGGATTAAGGGCCCCACCCAGAACTGGCCTCAACTCATGTTCTTTCATAGGGTTTTGGAATGTCCAAACTGTTAGGTCCTCAGGAGTGTAGCCAGCCCAGTTCCTTGTGCACAGATGGGAGTCAAGCCTACAAGAGTGAGACCTCTTTCAGGCAAAGTGATTCCTTGGGCAGCCCAAGCCTAGACTCTGGTTTTTAGGCCTTCAGTGCTCCATCCAGCTTCTGTTGCAAATAGTGGCAGAGTTGATCTAGAAGACCCAGAAACTGTTTCCACACTGCAGATGTAGTTGAGGTTTCAAATGGTACCTTGGTCCACTTCAGGGGCAAGATTGGTGTTTGTTTGTTTGTTTATTTTTCAATACAGGGTTTCTCTGTAGATTTGGAGCTTGTTCTGGAACTTGTTCCATAGACCAGGCTGGCCTTGAACTTATAGAGATCCACCTGCCCCTACCTCCTGAGTGCTGGGATTAAAGGCGTATGATACTACAGCCCAGCTGGCAAGGTTGTTCTAAATGATTGGCCTCTTTGAATTGTTCCCAAGATCCTGTGCCACATGCCAGAAGAGACACATAAGGAATCGATGCCTCCATTGTGACCCGAAGCCTAGGGACTTCTTACCATCCCCACTGTACAGTCAGAACACTGAAGACTGGGGAAGTGGCAACACTGGCTGAAGGGCACATAGCAAGGCCTAAGGCCTCACTCATAGTCTGGGTTTTTGGTGCTAAACCCTGTTTCTCAGAGGAGAGACCACATGAAAGGAAGTAGAAAGCATCACCTCAAGTGCTAGAAACCTTATCATGTCCTTAAGGAACAAAAACACAAAATAGCACCCACAGGGTTGGTGGTGTCAGGAGAGCCTAGACTGTGAGACACTGATCCCACAGTGGGCTGATCCCAACTGGCCTTCCAGTAAAGTGGCAAGAGCCTGGGGGAGGCTGAGGTTGGTGTGGGAGATTTGTCTGCCTGTTCCTTTCCCTCATGGCTTAACTCGAGAGGCATGGCAGGGACACTCAAATTGCAGAATCACAAATGTGCGGGTACACCAGCGCATTCTCACAGTGGGATGCCTGCCCCAGGCCTCTTTCCACACTTCTGTCTGAGAGATCTTCCTCTTTGACCCTGTGTCAACCCAGTGGGCATATGGAAAAAGACTTGCAGAGGTCAGGACCAACTTAGTCACTGACTTGCTAGGCATTTAACCTCTCAGAGCCCTGCCCCTTCCCTCATCTTCACTGGAGGAAGGCAAATGCCAAGCTTTGATGTCTTCAGAGGGTGCTGGAATAGGCCGAGAATACTTTAGTTGATAGAATGGTTGCCTGCCAGGCATGACCACTGGGTTCAATCCCCAGCATTACATAATCCAAGCATGATGGCGCATGCCTATAATTCTAGGACTCAGGAGGTGAAAGCTAAATGATCAGAAGTTCAGGGTCAGGCCAAGACAGGTTAGCTGGTAAAGCACTTGCCACAACAAGCCTGGTGACCTGAGTTGATTCCAGTTGATTCCTGGAATCCAGGGAGGATACCGGTGAAGGAAAGGCAAACCCTCTCCACAGAGTTGTCTTCTGACCCACACACACAATGGCACATGTACCCATACATATCTTGGTTATCCTAGCTACATCACAGATTGAAAGCCAGCCTGAGTTACATGGGACCCTGTCTCAAAAAAATTACAAAAACAGTAACATGGGGGTGCCAGCAAGCCAAGGAAAGGTGGCCTACTGGGGCCACAGAAGGCAGTTATCTAGAAGGGCTAGTTCATAGCCATTGTCTGCTTGGCTTCAGATCTGCCTTTCTGATCTGTGACTCCCTTCACACCCCTCAACTGTAAGAATGGGAGTAAGGGATAGGACAAGTACACACAGGCTCCTTCTCTTACCATCTCCTCCTTCACAGTGGAAAAAGCATTGGTTTGTGCTGACGGATTCAAGCCTCAAATATTACAGGGATTCCACTGCCGAGGAGGTGAGGTACCTGGATGGGTGGGTGGGCCCTAGAAAATGGGGACCCATGGTTGGGTCCTAGAAAATACGGGGCCCATAGTTGGGGTCTGCGGAGTGGGGCTCCTCAGGGCCCATGTAGACCATGGCGAATCCTCTTGTTTTTTAGGCAGATGAACTGGATGGGGAGATCGACCTGCACTCCTGCACAGACGTCACTGAGTATGCAGTACAGCGCAACTATGGCTTCCAGATCCATGTGAGGCTGCTTGCAGATCTGGGAGGTCGAGGGTGTAACCTGGGTCCCTGGGCATGTGTTGGCCCCACTTACTCACTTGCCTTCAGTCCATGGTCAGCCAATCAGCAATGCTGATGTCCATACTTAATGTGTCTAGGGAGGTCTGATGCGAGGTACTTCCACAGGCTGGCAGAAGGGTTTCGTACCCTCTGTCCACTTGGCCTTATATACTCTCCTGGGAAAGAAGGATCACTTCCACAAGGGGAGGGAACACAGGGCTGGCCGTGTGGCAAGCTACATGTAGTACCCTTGCAGACCAAAGATGCCATTTATACCTTGTCGGCTATGACCTCGGGCATCCGGAGGAACTGGATTGAGGCTCTCAGGAAGACTGTGCGTCCAGCTTCAGCCCCCGATGTCACCAAGTATGTCTTGGGCTGGGTCCTGGGGGTAGTGACAGTGCTGTGTCCCTGAATGGGGTTCTGAGTACTTACCCAAGGGCCCAGTGGCTGTACCTTCAGGGGCTCAGTTCCTCTAGCAGTACATGCTCTTGGCCATCCAGAATCCATTGAAAACTTAGGGTTTGGCCTGCTACCTCATTAGGTCCCCTTACATTCTAAAAGCTGGGAAAGGTCTTGGTCGTTTAGACAAGAGGCTTGAAAGGCAAAGTTGGCTCTTCTGTCTGCTAGGTATCATGGCCTCTGCACACAGCAATCTCCAGCTGCCATGGTGAAGGGGAGGGCTGTTTGTTATTGTGTATGGGGAGCTAAAGCTCAAAGCTGCTGCTGCCGCTTGACGGAAGGAAGGAAGTGTGGTGTTAGAGACATAAGCATGACTCCCCAAGCCTGGCTCTACCCTGGTTGTTCAGCCATAGGCCAGAGGCTTTCCCGTCTGCATTTCAGATTCCTCATCTGTCATGTTGGATATTATGTCTGCACCTTTGCAGGCATGTGTAAGGGTATGGTTTTTCCACCCGCCGCTGCACCAGCTCCAAATAACGCACAGAGACTTTGTATAGATATAATGCTGTTGGCCAGGTACTAGTTTCTTATTGGCTAGCTTTGTCTTAAGTATTAACCCATTTCTATGTATTTCCACATGGCCTTACCAGGGAGAGGCGGCTGGCGGTTCTGCCTTCTCCAGACTCTCCATCTTGACTCCTCCTTACTACTTCCTCTTTCCTCCTTGTCTCCTAGTCCCTCTTCCTTTCCTATTGGCCAACAGTGCTTTATTCATTAACCAGTATGAGAAACATATATACATAATGGCATCTCCCATCATCTCCTCTTTTCTGTCTAAATAAAAAGAACGGTTTTAACCTTAACATAGCAAAATATATTACACAACAGTTATCAAGTAAGAATCACAGTTAACAGTATTTAGTCGATTAACATTTACTAAGATTTAAGAAAATATTCCATCATCTATTCTATCTTTGTGAGTCTAACGTCCTGTATGTAACTTATTTTTAATCCTTACTAAGGAAAACTATAACCATAACTATAAGTCTTCAACTCCTTCAAAGACAACAGAAGGATAGTATATAAACTCTAGAAATGACAGAGACATCTTGCCTTGTCAGTCACCTGAAGTTCTTCTGTAATCTTCCATCTTCAGCCCATAGGCCATACTGTGTCTGGCAGACTCTTCAGCAAAGCAGGAAACTTTAAACTGTCTTCTTGTATTGACAGTTTGTCAGTCACTTTTCTCTGTGTCCTGCAGACTGTCTGGCAGACTCTTCCATGAAGCAGGAACTCTGCAGCAATGTCCATCTTGAATCAGCAGTCACGTTTCTGTGGGTCCTGCATGTCCAGTTTATGCAGCATAAAGTCAAACAGTCCAGACAAGAGCAGTATCTTGTCCAAATGGCTAGTCTTGCCATATTGGAAGTAAACTTCATAACACGTTTCTTCAATGTCCATCTTCCTTTCTGATGCAGTGGTACTGCCAGGAGCAGTTATGTCTCACTGTCAAGAAAAACCCTAAACCATTTTAAATGCCATATTCTGTAGGTCTTTGAAAGGTTTGAAGAATGCCTATCCATCTCAAATACATCTCTATATATCTAGAAATCCTAACTAACTTAACTATAAGTTCTGACTATCATAGGTAACTATCTATAATCTGTACTAAATTATACATTACATATCTAAATGAGCTATATAAACAAGAGGAGAAATATACATATCACAAAATTGACCTTAAATTGTATCAATAAATGAAAATCCATTCCAAAGCCAAGTATACAATAAATGAAAATCCATTCCAAAACAAAGTAATCATATCTATACAATAGGCATGTGTCCAGGGCTCTTGGTGAATTCTGCAGAACCGTGCTGTTGGGCTGTTTGGTATGTAGGCTGGAATCTTTGCAGTATTGACCCAGAAGTGTTAGTATAGGCCTGGTGCACAGCTTAGCAGCCCTTAGCTCACAGCTTGGCCATCAGATCAGAAAGCACAGCTGAATTGCTGAGGAGGCCCTTTAGAGGGAGTTGCTTCTATCTACCCCACCAGCCCCCAACCACCAGAATATGATCATTGCTGCAGAGAATGCTGGGAATGTTTGTGACTGTGTTGCTTGTATGTATGTATGTATGTGCACCCATGTATGCAGTGCCCATGGAGGTCCCCTGGGTTGTATCAGGGGTATGTATCAGGGGTATGTATCAGGTCCCCTGGGTTGTGAAGTGCCATATGAGTTCCAGGAGCCAAACTCTGAACTTCTGAGCCATCTCTTCAGCCTCTTGTACATTTTTGTTGCTGTTTTATGTCTGTACTAATGCGTGCATCAGCATTTGCAAAAGCTCTCCCATTTGCTTTACACACTGAGCCCCACATCCATGCCACGTATGGTATTGCTGTCCCTTGTTCCAGATACAGTAACTGGGACCATGAGAGGGAATCTGCTGGTAGATGACCTCCCTAGGGTCCTCCCATGGTCTGATAATAATGAGGTGTGAGTTCTCCACCTCTAGTCACGACTGCTTGCTCACTCAGGTTCATATCAGTCCTTGGCAGAGAATAAGTAACCCTACGAAAGTGTTTCTGTAAGCTGGAGTGGGCAGAGATTCTTCCCTGACATGGCTCTGCTGACGTCCTAGGCTCTCAGACTGCAATAAGGAAAATACGCTGCATGGCTATGGTACCCAGAAGGGCTCCCAGAAGATAGGGGAGCAGCGGACAGGCTCTGAGGTTATTGGCCGGGGTGGCCCTCGCAGAGTGGATGGATCACGGCAGTCACTGGATTATGTGGAGCTCTCTCCATTAACCCCAAGTTCCCCACAGCGTGTGCGCACTCTGACCCGCTCCACTCCTGAGCGCCCAACCAAGCAGGAGGATCTGGAGCGGGACCTGGCACACCGCTCTGAGGAAAGACGCAAGTGGTTTGAGTCCACGGACAGCAGGACCCCAGAGACTCCCAGTGGTGATGGGCCTCGAAGGGGCCTTGGTGCCCCCCTGACTGATGACCAGCAGAGCCGGCTCAGTGAGGAGATTGAAAAGAAGTGGCAGGAATTGGAAAAGCTGCCCCTGCGGGAGAATAAGCGAGTGCCACTCACTGCCCTGCTCAACCAAGGCCATAGTGAGCGTCGGGGGACCCCCAGTGACAGCCATGAGGCTCTGGAGAAGGAGGTAGGCCTCTCTCCCCATCAGCCCCCCTGTAGTATCAATGTGCATGGCCTGACATCAGCCTTGCAGCCCTACAGTGGTGAGGAGCTCACCCCAATATTTGACCTACCAATGACAGTCCTCATAGGGGGCTGTTTCCCCTAGTACTTAGAGTTGGTTTTGTTTTTGTATGGCTTTGTCTTTGTTCTGTCCTTAGCCACAGGGAAGAGACATGAGGAGTGGTGAAGAACAGGCTTTTTTCTGTGTGACTTTGTTAGGCTCCTCTTTGCCCTCCATGACATTGGACCTGCTATATTTTACACACGTGGAAAGTGTGGTGCAGAGGGTGTCCCCCCATTACAATCATGGGATGATGGATATCTGTCTACAGTGTGCTATTCCCAACCTTGTCTGGTCACCTCTGGGTCAAAGCTGATCTGGGTCATTGACATAGCTATCCTGGACTCAGCCACAAAGTCCCATGTCTGTACCTCTCCCTGGGGCTCCTGCCCCTTCTCCAAACCAGAACTATTACTAAACACGCTGAGGAAACTGGGCTTCTAGCCATGTGGAGGTAGTACCTGTGGGCTCCTGGCCTCCCACCAGCACCCTTCCCATCTCAGGACACTCGTTCACCCATTGACCTCTTCCTGTGTCCCAGGTCCAGTCCCTTCGTGCCCAGCTAGAAGCATGGCGGCTCCGAGGAGAAGCTCCTCAGAATTTCCCCAGGTCCCAGGAGAACAGCCATGTTCCTCCAGGCTATATCTCACAGGTAAGGCTGAGGGACTGCTTTGTGGGGTGGGGGCAGGTTTCTGGTTGCTGTGTTGTCAGAGAGCAGCTGTGTTTGGGGAACCTTTTCTGTGTGTGAGAATCATGCCAGGCATTTGCTACACATCATGTCATTTAATCTTCCCACAGCTGGTGGGCATGATCACTGTGCCCATTTTACAGACAAGGCCACTGAGCTCTGAGAGGGTATGTGACCCGCCTGAGGTGGGATTTGAGCATGGGTCCAGCTGACTGCAGAGCCTGTGTGTGAGTCCCCGTGTGACACTCTGCACTTGGACCTCCTCCCTGCACCACTGGGGAAGTGGGGAGCCAGTAACCCTGGGCATCACTCTCTAAATACAGGGAGAGGCTTTCCCTGCCTACCAAGGAGGTCTGTGGGACTTGGGAGCCTCTAGTTTGCCCTCGGGAGTTTGCTTGAGACAGCAGTTCTCAACAAGGGAGGGTGGCTTTCTCCCTCTAGGTAACTTTGTCCTCCCTGGGAAAAGACTGTTCCCTGGGGCCAGTTGTCTATGTCTGGGAGTGATTTTGGTTCTCACAATGGACAATTAGCTCACTAGAAAAAACTTGTGTGTGTGCATATATTTATTATAAATTATAAAAGGTTGTTTAGTATATATAAAATGTACAAATAAAGTATATAATCCTTTTTATTGTGAATTCCATATAGAAATGGATATTTCTCAGACTGCTTTAATGACTACTCCTTATACTTGTGGCCACAGTTGATTAACAAACAGGTGGTTCTCATGTGTGTTGAGTGATATTTTTATGCTAATGAGTAAGAGGAAAAGACATCAAAACTTCTCAAGATCAATGTTGTAAGCAAACTCTTTACTGAACTGAATGCCGGCTTTCTGCTGAGACTGAGAATAATTTAGTCAGAATCGCTCACCATTTTGGTTCTGTATAAGCGATAAAGATAAACTGAGTCCCAGTTTATGGCACTGAGCAGTTTCCATGGTGTGAGCCTCCCCCTGTGGCTGATGTCAAAGCCATGGTCCAAAGGCTGTGGGCTTGGGATGGGTTTCTGCTGTGCTGGTGCAAGGTCAGAGTACACACCCAATATAAACACATGAGGGGGGGCACGCATGTTAAGCATCAGCCTTGACATTTTCTATCTTGTTACTTTCTATGGCTGTGATAAAATATCCTGACAAAAGCAACCTAAGGGAGAAAGGGCTTATTTGGGCTCTGGGTCTGTCAGAACAAAAAGTCATGGTAACAAGACTCGGAAGAAGCTGTCACATGGCACCCATAGCCAGGGGATAGAGGTAAATGCTGTGCTCAGCCACTTTACTACATTTGTGCAGTCTAGGACCCCAGCTTGATAGTACTACTTTCCTTTATGGTAGCTCTCTACCTCAGGTAGACTAATAAGACAATTCCACTCAGGCACGGCCATAAATAATCCCTCACAGTCAGTTTGGAGGCTCCTTGTCTAGGTGACTCCAGATCTATCTAGTTGATAATTAACACTAACCTTCATGATCTCCTTTATTTTTTTAGTGTAATTCATTATAATTATATGTGTTTAATTTTTTAAAAGTACTTTGGCTTAACAGTGGAGTCACAGAATTCTGAATAATTTGGTAGTCAGCTGTCTATAGTCCTACCAGACCTACCAGTGCCAGGAGGAGGAGAGAATGCTGGGATCTCAGGGGGTTGACATGAGCAGGTTCTTGAAAAGCACCCTGATGGTCACGTCCTCTGAGTTATAGTGGCAAATGGGATATTTGCTATGTTGGAAGGTAGGAAGCTTATCAGTACCTACAGTAGAGCCCCCAAGGATAAGCTGAAGATGTTGAGAATTCTCCAGAGACACACAAGGTGATCTTGGAGTTCACTGAATAAGAGGAAAGGACAAGACTGGCTGAGAACAGATTGGCAGAGGTCTGAAGGGCGATTTTAGGCCCTGGTGACTGGGGCTTGGAAGGGCAAGGGAGCCTTTGGGGTCCTGGTGTTGGACTGCCACACCAGCAGAGGCCAGCTACTGCTGAGTTGTGGGTGGGGAGGTCAGTTGAAAGAGCAGGGGTTTGGGACAGTGTTGAGGAGTCTCTCCTGGGCTACTTGGGCTAAGGGAAGGTGGAAGTGGCCCAGTGTCATTAGGTCCTGCCCTGGGTGGGGCGTGGCACGGAGGCTAGGCTACAGCCTGGGGTCACTGAGTGGAACTGGGAACACTTCTCTGGGAGGGTCCACTTGCTGGAGTCAGAGCAGCTGTGTTTGCTCTGTGTTTGCTCTGTTTGCTATTAGAAGCAACTTCAGAGTTCATTTTAGAAAAAGCTTGTGTTACTCAACTGAAAATTTAAAAGCACTACTATGGCTCCTAAGGACCTCGGTGAGAAACCTGAGGCCCAGAATTGTGGTGTGACCTTTGAACTATAGGCAGGCCCGGAGCTTTTGCTTTCTGGTCCTCTTCTGTCCCGTTGGGCACTTCCAAAGCTTGCCAGTACTCCATCTCTGGGGCAGGGGAGGGGGCAGGTAGGACTGGGGTGTTAAGAGACGACATGGAAGTGCCCAGGAAACAGTGATGGCTGGGATGGCAGACACAAGAGGGAAGAGGGACTAAGTCACCCGTCCCTCTCAGGTGGGGGAGGAGGTGGTTGGAAACTCAGCTGACCCTGGAGAGGTGACTGCTGCAGAAGCAATTCCCCAGTGTGCTCTCCCAGGCCGAGTGCCGGCCTGTCTTTCAGCGTAGGACCTGTTACAGCACTAAAGTAGCTATGGGAGAAGCACACTCCAGCTGATGCCATAGGGTCACCAGCACTTCTTTCTCTCCCTTGGTGACAAGGCAGAGAAGTGGCCGGTGTTATCTTGGGCACTAAGGAAGATAGGTCACAGTTGACACCTAGCTGGCCCTCACCCCCTTGTTGCTGAGTTCTCCACAGATTTGGAGCACTGTACCCAGTAGCCCTTCTACCCAGTGAGCCTCTCAGGAGGTCCTTACGAGGCCTCTGATGGAGGCTGAGGCTTACAGGTGAAGCATGGAGAGTGGTGGCTCATCTCTACTCCTTATGTGGCCTCCTCTGTAAGGGGAGAGTCAGAGGACAAGAGCAAAGGCCCAGCAGGACAGGCGTTTCCCCCACTCATACGCAGATCCAGCCTCTCCCCACTGTATGTAAGCCTACAGTGGGGAGAGGCTGCAGAAGGAGGTGGGGGTTTTGATGGGGGAGGACTGTATTCCTTTATGTGGCCTTATGTACCTTAGTTTCTTCCCTGACCCAGCCCATTTTAGTGACCTAAAATGGTTTTTTTTTTCTTTTATTCATGTGACATGCACATGTGTGTGTCTGCTGATGTGGAGACTGGATGCTATTTTTTGTTGTTATTGTTGTTTGATTTTTATTTTGTTTTGTTTTGAGGCAGAGTCTCTCTATGTAGCCCTGGCTATCCTGGAACTCACAGAGATCTGCCTGCCTTTGCCTCCTGAGTGCTAGGATTAAAGGTGTGCACCACCACACCTGCCTGGTCTCTCTTTTCCTTTTTTAGATTTGTGTGTGTGTGTGTGTGTGTGTGTGTGTGTGTGTGTGTGTGTGTGTGTGTGTGTGTACCCACCAAGGTCAAAAAAGAGTTTCTGAACTCCTGGAGCTAAAGTTCTGTTGGGTAAGCCACCTGACCTGGGTCTCCTGGAAGAGCAGGAAGTGTTAACCCTGATTCATATCTCTGCACATCCCTATTTTCTTTTGAGACCAAGTTCCATTATGTAGCCTTGGCTAACCTGCAGCTTGGGATGTTGTCAGGGGTGGCATATACCTTTAATCCCAGCACTCAGGAGGCTGAGGCAGGAAGATCTTTGTGACTTCAAGGCCAGCCTGATCTACAGAATGAATTCCAGGATAGCCAGAGATACACAGAGAAACCCTGTCTCAACAAAACAAAACAAAAAAATAATAAAAAACAAACAAGAACCACATTTACATTTTTTAAAGTAATGAAGACACCAGACGTGGTGCATGACCCAGCATTTGGGCAGCTGAGGCCAGATGGTAAATTCAAGGCCAGCTTTAGCTAGAGGCTAAATAAGGTCTTAGACCAAGACCTTGTCTTAAGAAAAAACAGAAGCAAAACAAAACAAACAAACAAACAAAAAAAAAAACGATGGGCTGGGGTTGTAGCTCAATGGTAGAGCTCTCACCTGGCATACTCAAGGCTCTGGGTTCCACTGCAAAGTTTAAAAGGTTAAAAATGAACCCACTAGGGCCACCCATCCAAATGACTCAGTCAGTAAAGACACTTGCCTCTAAGCCTGAAGCCTTGAGTTCCATCCCAGGAACCCACATGATAGAAGGAAACTTGGACCTCCACCATGAGTGTACTGTGGCATGTATGCACCCCACCCCTAAAAAAATGTAAGAAGATGGGTTAAGAGCACACACTGGCTTCTCTTCCAGGGGTTGTAAGTTCAATTCCCAACAACCACATGGTGGCTCACAACCATCTATAATGAAACGTGGTGCCCTCTTTTGGTGCACAGGCATGCATACAGGTAGAACACTACGATTTTTAAAAATGTTAAGAAATGAGCCCTGATGCTGCTCCCAGCCCCATGTGTCCCTCTGCCCACCATTGCATATGTCTAGATCAACTTCCTGTGGTCAAGGGGACAAATTACTACCAACAGCTGGGTCAATAACGCAGACTTGACAATCATCTTGATGAAACCCAGCACAGACTAAGTGAGTGAGGGTGGGTGGCCTGGACCACACTCCTTTCCTAGGCTGCAGGTGGGGTCATGGGCTCCTTGCCTGTTTCTCACCTATGTTCCCTTCATTTCAAAGCTTTTCACTCGCTGTAACTCTCCTCTCCTGGTCATGTCTCCAGATGTTTATCTTCTGTCGCCCACCCCACCCCACCCTACCCACATTCATTCCTCAGGACACCAGCTTGTCTAGGACAGTCTTCTGCTCCTAGTGGCAGCTGGTTAGAAGCTTTAATTTCTTTTTTCACAGACCAAGGCAGTCCCAAGTCATATATGGATATCCTTGGAGAGCTGTTATCCAGCCTGCCACAATATCCTTCCAGCACTTTTTGTGTTTTTGCATACCTGAGCTAAGCAGGCAGTGGCCTGTTTTGCATTCATGAATATTGTCAGGAGTCATCTTACATTCCACAGCAGTCCATATGGCATCCCTGCCCTCCGACAGTTGCCTATTGTCCTTTGCAGGCTTAGACCCCATCACTGACTCAGGGAACCCACTTGTGCCTTAGTCATTATACACAGGTAGTGGGATGTTTGTTCCTAGGAGTGGAGCTGCCCAGGCAAAGGTTAGAGCTACCAAAAAAAAAAAAAATATATGCAATGATGCCTCTATAATCCCAAGTACTCAGGACGCTGAGGCAGGAATGTTGTGAGTTCAAGGCCAACCTGGCTACATAGCAAGTCCCTGTATCAAAAAGATGATGATGACCCCAAACTGCCCATACACATCAGGCACAGTAGGCACTCCAACAGTAGACATGGGTCTATCTACTTACTGTCTTGTCTACAAAACCATTTTTACGACATCAACAGTTCCAGCTCATTTACTAAGGTCCTACCATGTGACTTAACCCTGGCCTGCATTCCAGGCCTAAGCTGGGTCTGATGTACCTTGTCTCCAGGCTATTGTGTCCCCAGAGAAACAGGCCCTTGGGAGGCAGGGATGAGGCTTCCCAGAGGCAGAACTAGAAAGATGTTTAAGATGGGCTGTGGAGGAAAGTGAGTTTCCCAGAAGAGAAGTGTTCCCACTGCAGGCAAAAGAATAGTGTTTGTTGGTTTTCCTAAGTTGTTATTATTGAAGGGGGTGAATACATGCATGGCATGTGGAAATCAACACAGCTTCATGGAGTTAGTTCTTGCATTCTCAGGTTTACACGGCAAGTGCCTTTACCACTGAGCCGTTTCACCATCCCAAGAACTGCTTTTATAACTATGAGGTTGCTTGATAGTAATGGGTTAGGCAGAGACAGAGTTGTGGGAGCCAGACTTTATCCTGCAAATGGGCTATCATTGCAAGGTTTGAAGCAGAAAGAGGGCTTATGAAGTTAGTGGCTGAGGAGGGTTGGGTGGCAGTGGAGACAGGTATGGACTCATTCATGGTGCCACATTTCAGAGCAGGGACATGAGCCTAGCCCTGGGCAGGCTTGCACTGAGGCTTGTAGCCTGGAAGGGCTTCTAGCTCAGCCAGAGGGAGCAGCCTCATGACCTCCCTGGCCTCTGGCCCACAGGAAGCCTGTGAGCGCAGCCTGGCAGAGATGGAGTCCTCACACCGCCAGGTGATGGAGCAGCTGCAGCGGCACCATGAGCGAGAGCTGCAGCGGCTGCAGCAAGAGAAGGAGTGGCTCCTGGCGGAGGAGACGGCTGCTACAGCCTCAGGTGAGGACCAAGGATGCACCATGGGCAGGGCCTGGTGCTTCCACAGTGAACTGAGAAGCCACTTAAGTAAGGACTTCAAGGAAGCAGTCAGTAGGGATTGGAAGCCCTAGAAGTTACCTGTGGTCCAGCTTGAAAAGAAGGAAGTGAGGCAGTAAAAGACCTCCCCTCCCTGGGTTGTGACTTTTCTTCCTTGGGTTCTGTAGACATTGAGGGGTACCTCAAGCCACATACTACCAATCAGCTAGCCTATCCTGTCTAGGTACTTGGTCAGACCCTGAGATGCTCAAGGAGTGGTTGTGACCTTTGCCCCACTGGCAGTGTATACATACCTCTCTGTTCCCACACATTTCTCATGGGAGCAACCTGAGTGTTCATGGTATCCAGGGAGTAAGGAAGCTGGACCCCAGAGAGGTTAGTGACTTGTCCCGAATGGCACAGCTTGGATATGACAGAGCTATGCTTTGAGCCTAGAGCTGATATTCTGATTGCAAAGCGGGGTGCTGAACTGCCTCACTTTTCCCAAGCCCAGAACAGGAAACACCCAAGACAGACAAATTCTATCCACCTCTTCTGTCAAGTACACACTTGCTGTGTATGCCTGGCATATCCTGGGCAGCCCCTCTGGCTTTGCAAAGTCATGAATGAGGTCATGTGACCTGGAGCGTGCATCTTGCCGATACTAGCCAAATGTTCCCTGTGCTCAAGTCTACATGGTCACTTCCCCCAAGTCTTGGGCTGTGTTCATGTTTCAGGGCAGACCCACCTGGCTGGCAGCCTAGAGTAGCCACCCCTCCTCAACAGGATGCAGGCATCACTCAGTGATCTAACACCAGAGATTCTACAGTGAACTTGAACTTGATGGAAATGTCACTGTGTTAAATAACAGACTACTAACAGCTTTGTATCCCTGCATGGTAGGGACTGCCATCGAGGAGGAATGAGATCCCCCCAATATTCAGAGGTGTTGCAGTTCGAAATTGTGGATAAATCCAAAGCTGGAGGCTTGCATATTCTTTACCCTGCTCTGTGCAATATGGGGGAAATGCTGGGTTCTTGGGAGCTCCCCATTAAATAGCTAACAGGAGCCAGCGCTTGGCTCTTACTCTCCAGGCAGGACAAATAGGCCTTGATGGATGGCCCTCTAGCCACTACAGAGATGGTGTGAAGCACTGTGTAAGGCTAGCTAGAAACCACTAGTAGGAGATACCAGTGGTTAGATATTAACATATGATCCCAGGTGAGCCCATCACACAGGATTACTTCAAAGAGGACCCAGAGAAGTTGACCACTTCACCCAAAGCCACTGGGTTCAGGGTACAGCTCCAGCCATAGTGTTTGCACCCCTCTGGCCCTGTCTGCACCAGTACAAATGGAATTTGTGTGGATACCTTTCTAACTTGCCCTCTGCCTGTCTGTTCTGCTCCTAGCCATTGAAGCCATGAAGAAGGCATATCAAGAAGAGCTGAGCCGGGAGCTGAGCAAAACACAGAGTCTCCAACAGGGTCCAGATGGCCTTAGGAAGCAACACCAGTAAGATGGCAGCAGGGTCTGGGATCTGGGGTGGGTTTGCCTCTGAGCCAGGAGCACCACTTGCCCTGATAGATGTGACTAGGACTTTGCTGAGGAGCCTTAGCAGAGGACATACCGGTCTTCAGGACCCAGGTCCTGGCCTGTGTGCCTCTTTAGTGTCTCCTAGAGCTGGGTTGCAGTGCTGCTCTTGACCACTAGGGTGACTCCCTGCCCCAGTACTTTTGTGGTGCCTGGGCTATGGTGGTGAGAGGTGGTCCCTGAGCTCACCCTCCGGAAGAAACCCCTGCAGACCAGAGAGACTGCTACCAGCCCACAGCTACAATGGTCTGAGTTCAAAACCACAGATATCTCCAACCAACAATGCTGTGACTCCAGGCCAAGCAGTGGCTAGAGAGTCCACGGGGTCCGTGTTTGTCCCATCCTGTGCTCCTAGGTTGGACATAGAGGCATTGAAACGGGAGCTTCAGGTGCTGTCTGAGAGGTACTCCCAGAAGTGCCTGGAGATCGGCGCCCTGACACAGCAGGCAGAGGAGCGTGAGCACACCCTGCTCCGCTGCCAGCAGGAGGGCCAGGAGTTGCTGCGCCACAATCAGGTACACTGGCGCCCCCGGAGGCTGCGACTGGGCAATGATGGGTCTGATGTTCCCACTCTGACCATCCTATTCTCTCAGGAGCTGCACTCCCACCTGTCGGAGGAGATCGACCGTCTGCGCAGCTTCATCGCCTCGAAGGGCACAGGCAACAGCTGTGGGCGCAGCAATGAGAGGAGCTCTTGCGAGCTGGAGGTAAACGGCTTCCCCTCTTCTGCCTTGCCCTCCCCTGTGCCAGGCAACCCCTGGCTCCAGGACCTGAATGGAAGTTCCCTAGCGAGCTGGGTGTCACCTGCAAGTGCCACTCAAAACTTTGGGATAGAATTCCAGGCTAAGTCAGAGTTCCAGCCTTTGATCCAGTCGTGTCATCTACCTGGTGTGTGACCATGCTCAGTCACTCTGCCTTTGTGAGTCCTAATAACTTAAATATAAAACAGCTAGCATGTTGGGCATGGTGGTGAGTGGAGTTTCAGGACAGCCAGAGAAACAGTGTCTTGAAAAACAAAACAAAACCAAAACACAGTACCTCATGTTGGGGTAACCCCCACCCCGACCATAAAATTATTTTCATTGCTATTTCATAACAATAATTTTGCTAGTAATGAATCATAATGCAAATATCTGATATGTAGGAGGGTCTTAGGCCACCTCTATGAAAGGGTTAGTTCAACACTCAAAGGGTTCAAGACCCACAGGCTGAGAGCCACTGCTATAAGGCCTGCCTCTGTACCTAGAAGTTCTGAGCCCTTTGACTGTTCTCTTCCATTGAGCTTCTTAGTCAAGCATTGCTACTGTCTGCATTAAACCAATGAAGAAACAGAAGTTAATGGACTTCCTGAAGGTTACCCAGCTATTGGTATGGAAGCTGGGACTAGAAATGGGCAGTAGATCACCAGTCTGGAGTCTAAAGGCTTTTCTGCTGCTCAGCTGAGTTTATGCACCCCACATGTCAATAGCTCTGCTCCTCAGAGTTCAGAGGGGGTAGTCCTGCTGCAGTCACATAGCTACCGTTCACAGTAGGGTCATAACACAGTCTCCTGTCAACCCCCTCGACCCTAGTGCCTAGGTCTGGTACTGTGTTACTCTGTAGCTGAAGTAGCAGCTTCCCAATATAAGAGTGACAAAAAGGAGAACAGAGGCGGGGGACTTCCTGGGTCAGTAGACTGTAGGATACAGGGCCTCTCAGTGGGGGTTGAGATGCCAGGTTGCAGAGCAATATAGATCTGGTAGCCTTGGCCTGTGGTCCTGGCTCAGCCCTGCACATGTGTCCCTAGGTGCTTCTGAGAGTAAAAGAGAACGAACTCCAGTACCTGAAAAAGGAGGTGCAGTGCCTCCGGGATGAGCTCCAGGTGATGCACAAGGTAGGCAGCAACAGCTGTGGGGTTGGGTGTGAGCCATGTGTCTCCCTGAGCCAGCCACCATCAGCCCTATCCTCTCCCTGGGCCTTCCACATAGGCCTCAATATCCCATCCCAGACAAGCGTGAGAAGAGAGAGGGGTATGACTCACCCAAGGTCACACTTGCTTTCCGACATTCAAGGCCATTCATTATTATTGAGCACCTAGTAGGTGCCAGGAATATAGCTGTGAACAGAACAGCTATCCCAGCCTGGCTGTGGGTTGACTTCAAGTGTTGCTAGGAGTTGGGAAGCCAACCCAGTTCTGTACAGACATTGGCTCGTTCCTGCCCTCATCAAGCTGTGGATGTGTGGCTCTGAAGTATGAGCCAGGAGTACACTGTCTGTGCTTGGAGAACAGGCAGAGAAAACCCACTGAAAGACCAGAGCCCCAGGCATGCCTTCCTGGGGCTCTCCTACTTCACTATGATCACGAACAAAGGCTTCACCTCCTCAGGCCCTAACTGCCACCCCTTTAGTGGGGAGGAAGGACAGTGGAGCCCCCATCACTGGGGGAACCTGGCCTTCTGTGCTAACAGCAAGGGGGTGAGGCGCGGGTGCTACAGGCTCCAGCCCTCAGGGCTTCCTCTGTGCCCAGGACAAGCGCTTTACGGGGAAGTACCAGGATGTCTATGTGGAGCTGAACCACATCAAGACACAGTCAGAGCGCGAGATCGAGCAGCTAAAGGAGCACCTGCGCCTGGCCATGGCTGCCCTGCAGGAGAAGGAGGCTGTGAGAAACAGCTCGGCTGAGTAGAGGTGGGTGGAGACCCTGCAGTGCAATCCTGTGATCACTTGCATGCGGCTTGATGGGCCAGCCCTGCCTTTCCCTGGCCCATTTCTCTTTCTGTAAGTGTCATTGTGGTGGTACTGGCTACAAGGGAGTTGTCATGACCATAAGACAGTCCGAAGTCTGCTGTGTCAGCCTGCGTATGTTTATCCTAAGGTGATAACACATGGGTCAGGATCCCACAGCCCTGCATCTTAGCCACTATCATGGTAACCGTGCCAGTAGTCTGCCCTTCCATAGGCTCATGGGCCCTGGACATAACCCAAACTCTCCCCTAGACCCCAAGCTTTGTGCCACAGCCAGTGCTGACCTAGAGCTGCTCTCCTTCAGAGGGCTTTGAAGTGATATGATGTGACATGATGTATGACGTGACATGACATGACATGGCCTGTCTACCTCCTTGTCCTGACTAGAGTAGACTTCCTAAGGCATATGACCACCCCTTGTGCAAAGCAGCCTATAGAAGTGGCTCTGGTTCATCTGTGGGGCCTGCAGCTGTGGGCAGTTTCACTGGTACTTTGGCTTGGCCTACACTGGCAGGCCAAAGCCTGAGGCCTGCCTTTCCAGTGCTCAGTGGTCACTCTTGCCTTCCAGGTCCCTGTGGTTCAGCTCAGTGAGGATCCTCCAGCCCCGGAGGACCAGCCACCCTCCTTCTCTTACAGAAGTCAGAAGCCAAGCTTCCCCCCCCCCACATGTGCACTCATACTTGCTAACACATGCATGAGCACACACCACACACACACACACACACACACACACACACACTGCGGATCTGAGCTCGTCCCTCGCACTGGGTCTTACCTTGCACCTTCTTCAGGATTTTATATATGAAGAGATTTTTTTATATAGAATTTTTGCCTTTTTTTTTTTTTTTCTTTCTAAACACTTTAAACTTTTAAAAAAGGCAATTCTTGGTGGCATGTACCTCTAGCACTGGCTCCTATACCCTCCACTCTCCTGCTTAGGCCTCCTCCGGTCCCCTGCTTGGGCTTCTTTCCTACCCTGGGCCTTGCAAAGGCCCAAGCAGGGCCAGGGTGACTTGACCAGAGGGAAAAGGCCAGAAGCCCTCTCTTCCTGCCCTACCTCTACTAACGAGTTTTGCCCCGCTAGGTCCACACCCTGGAACCAGTGGACAGAGAATGGAGCCTGTAGCTGTCCTCATAGCTCCACTCCTCTGAGGGGCGCTTGGTGTGGCCCACTAGTGCTACCCATGAAGACACATCTCTCCTGTCTCATGATTCATCCTAACAATAAAACCTTCCAGCAACTCTGGCTTTGTGGATGGCTGGGCAGGATAAGAAATGTCAAACAGGTTCTTGATGGCTTCTGTATTCCACCCGAAGAAGCAGGGATCTGTGGGCTTCCATAGGTGGAGCTGAGTCCAGTTCATCCCCTGGGCCTTGGACATTTGAGTGGTTTGAGGGCAGCAGCAGCAGTAGGGGAACCCAATCTACCCTGATAGCTGTCAGAAATTGCTCTCTAACCTGCTTCCCTGGTGGATCACCAATGGCTCATTTCAGGCTCACTCATTGACTATCTGAGAAACTGAGAGGGCAGGTGCTGAGATTGTGCTGCACCCCATAAAATCCTTCCCCAGCCTCAGTTTGCTTCTCCAGAAAATTTTTTTTTTTTTTTTTTTTTTTTATCATTCTCTGCACTAGGCTGAGATTATGCACAGAGGTTATCCAGCCATGGACAGAGGTGGGAGTGCAGATAGGGAATGTGACCATCATGATAGGCTGTACCTATGGTCAGTTTTCCAAGATTTGGAAACCAATTGGGTTGTGTCCCAAGAGACTGGGATCACACAGGAGACACTGGCTTGGTCTGATGCTGGTTCAAGAACAGCTTCAAAATCAGTTTTCCCAAATAGAAAATTCAAGAAGGGCAATCCAAGCAGAGCCACCAGCAGGAATAACTGCTCTTCAATCATCTCTGATGTGTTTTAGGGAAGACCCAGCATGGGGACCTCATAGAGCAGTGGCTCTCAACCTGTGGGTCACAACACTTCTGGGGGTCATCAAACAACCCTTTGACAGGGGTCACATATCAGACATTTACATTATGAATCATAACTAGTAAAATTACAGTTATGAAGTAGCAATAAAAATGATTTTATGGTTGGGGTCACCACAACATCAGGACCCTTATTAAAGGTTTGCAGCATCAGGAAGGTCAAGGACCACTGTCATAGAGTATAGCAGTGTCTCTCTACATCCTTCCCTATGATTGGTTCAAGAGTAGCCTGGATGACAAGCAGTTCTGCCAGTGAGATGCAAGAGAAGTCTGTGACTGGCAGCCCCAGCATCCGCATACAGTTGAGAATCCGAGCCCATCTCTGTCGTCATCCTCACCTCCTTCCTTGAAAGCCCATTCTCCTGTGCTTAGGGTGATAAGTCACCAAACACTCCACAATAGTCATTGCAGACAAAAGTCTTCACTCCCCAGTTCTGGAATAGCTCAAAAGACCTGACAGTACCAAGTATTAGTTAGCCAACTCTGGGACACCAGGGATTGTCATGTTCTGCTGGCATCGGCATTCTTGGCACACTGTGGTGGCTTAAACTTACATCTTCCCTCTGACAGTGCTTCTCTCTTGTACAGGCACCTAGAGCATCAAAAGCCACTGCACAACTAGACAGACACATTCATGGCAGCCCTATTCAAGGTTGCTCAAAGCTCAGCAGCTCCTCCATGGTAGTGTAAGTGGCTGGGAATGTAGCTTAGTTGGTAGAGTTACTCTCCCAGCAAGCATGGAGCCCTAGGTCAGTCCATAGCCCTGTGTAAGCCAGCCGTGGTGGTCCACACCTGTTAATCCCTGTGCTTGGGAAATGGAGGTAGGAAGATCTGAAGTTCAAAGTCACCCTCAGCTATATAAGCTCCAGGACAGCCTGGATTACATTTCTCATCCCCCAAAAAGAACAATTATGGTCTATTTGTACTTGATGATATGGCAATCAGCCGTAACTGCTATGTGCAAAAAACATGGGTGAGTCCTCCAGTCTTAATGGTTAAGAAGAAGCCATGAAGATAACATCTACAGGAGTTCATTTACATGACATCTACAGGAGTTCATTTACATGACATTCAAGAGCAGCAAACCAGTGGTGCCCTGAACTGGGGAAGAAGGGCCACTGTCCAGCAATGGATACAGGGATCTTGGGTGACAGATGTAGTCTGACTCAGTCTGGGTAGTAGTGAAAATATTTTTAAGTTTTGTGTGTATGGGTGTTTGGCCTGCTTGTGTGTCTGTACACCAGAGGGAGTTGGATCCCCTGGAACTGGAGTAACAGCTGCTGTGTGGATGCTGGGAATCAAAGCCATGTGGATGCTGGGAATCGAACCCAGGGAGAGCAGCCAATGCTCTGAGCAATGTCTCCAGCCCAGTAAACTGGCTTTTAAAAAAACAAACCAGGTTTCCAGCAGGTGTCAGGTCAGCCACCCAGGAGAAGAGCTTAGACCCCTTTATCATTGGACACTGTCTGAAGCACAGCCGTCTAGCTGTTCAGTCTGGTTATGGCCTCAGGCATCCAGCCATTGCTATAGAAATAGCTCCACTATTGCCTCCTGAAATCATCTTCCTTCCTGGGCTTAGTTTCTTGATCTGTTAAATGGGACAGTAATGCTCCAGGAGGCTGTGGGTATTAAACTACTAACTTTCAGTTATCTGTTGCTTTGTAGGCAACTACCATAAACTTGATGGCTGAGAATGGCAATGTTCTTATTCACTCTTCCAGACTTATAGCAGGCTTAGGCCAGTCTCTTGTGTCCTTCCTGCAGCTATATCAGGTGGCCAGAGCGCAGGTCAGCTGAGGTTCTCTGTGCATGTCCCTCATAGCTTCTCCCTTCACAGGCGTGCCACCATAGTGTGATGCCTGCTTCGCTGCAACGTCCTTCTGCTTCCTGGATGCACAGTGGTCTCAGGACATCTGTAGTCTGGATGACTCCCATAGAAAGGGCTGCAGCTGTGGAGTCAATATTGCTTATGAGCAATGCTTGGAAATGCCGTGACGTCACTTGTCAGTCAAAAACAACTTAGGGCCAGCCCAGGCTCAAGAGCAGAGGCAGGGCCTGGTCAGCAGAGGTGGCTCTTCCAGGCCAGCTCTCTTCCCAGCCTCCTGTTCCTGAGGTGGAACCCTCTGTAATGTCCTCCTCAGGGTTTGCCATCAGCTCTTCTGTGTCTGGGTGTTCTCTTGTGCTGACCCTGGCTACTTATCCTTGGCTCCTCAACATCTAGCCACTAATGTGTCCCCAGCCTGTTCTCAGAAACTCAGATAAAGGAGCCTATCCCAAGGCTGGCATTAACCTGTGCTTTAGCTCCAACTTGTCCTGAAAGCGATTTGTGGATGAGGCCCTGAAGAGCCAGCCTCTCATCCTGGGGCTGCCTTGACCTATGAAGGTTTGGAACTTTGAGGTAGGCAGCTTATCCAAAAAGCCACAGTCAGCACAGACCCAGGTGGGGAGATCAGGGGAGGCTTCCTAGAGGAAAAGGTGCTGGAGCTGAGCAGGAATTAGCCAGGCCTGGGGTTGGAAACGGGTCTGCTTCTGAGCATGGTAACCATGGTTCTGAGTCTGGAGAGATTCTCATTCCAGGAATGTGCTGCAGTCACAGCCTGGAGCTCAGTCTGTGCAGGAGCAGCAGATGAGGCTGGAGCAGCAGACTGCAGGGGGGGAGTGGTGCTGCATGTCCTGCAATGGGCTTCAGGACTTGGGGAACGTCTGGACTGCATAAAACATCCTGGCTCTGCTTAGAGGGCTGGGAAACATGGTGGAACCAGGAACACTGTTAAGCTAGTTAAGGCAGGCGCAGAGACGCCCCAGGCACAGTAGTAGCAGGAGCCATCAAGGGCACTGGGAAGTGGGACATACGGGCTCCATGCTGTGGGGAGCAAGTGGTCAGCAGGAGTGGAACCGAGCACACGGAGAGCCATTGGTCTTACTAGGGCATAGAACTCAGGGCCTGTGAGGTGGGGAAGGAGTGTTGATGACTTAATGACACTTTCTGATGTCCCCTGTCCCTCAGTGTCTCCGGTTCCCACACTCCCATTGATTCTCCAGAGGGCCCTCTGCAGTGACAGAGGCTGGCCTGTCCCTCTCCATGCCTTACTGGAGCACCAAAGTTCTCCTCCCTTCCACAGACATTGTGACCTTATTCTTGACTCTAGGGACCTCGGGGAAGGAGGAACATTGTACTTGGGCTGGCTGAAATGAAGATATTCTAAAGAGACACTGGTGTCTCCTAATCTGACTGGGTTTGTTAAAACCATAGACCCTGGGGAAATGGGGATTTCCCCAGGAATCTCATTCTTGCAGGAGGAGAGGCCAGTGGAAGGTGGGGGAGGCCAGTGGGGAGCGGAATTTCTGACATCTTGTCAAAGCAGCTACAAAAGGAAGGTCAGAGTGTTGAACAGGGTCAACATTGTGTCAACACTGGGTCAGATTTGGGCAGGGCCACCCCCAGCACTGCCTAAATATGCAAATCCTTGACCTTCTATGTCAATTTATCTTACTTTAGGATCCAGAAAATGGATTTGCTCCTCTTCCCATCATGCCCACATGAAGCAAACCTTTTTCTGATTTCCACTATTAATTTGGCTGTTTTAATTGTCTTATGGGTGTCTGAATCCAACCCGTAGTACAGGCTGTGACCCAAGTTCAATAACAATATTATCTCAGGAAGCAGGTCCTACTCTTCTGGGCATACCCACTGCCATCCGGTCCCTCTCCTCACTCAGCATCTATGCTGCTAAGGGAGGTTGAATAATCGAGAAAGGTAAGTCTGAGAGTCAGGTAGTCCTCTGTCATATTCCTGTTCTTAGCTCTGCAGCACTAGCAGGCTGTATACAGTTCC